ATATAATTATGAGATTTTTTTATCTAATTTTTTATAATATAAACTAATAACTATTATTTACATCTAATTTTGTAATAAATAGTATGATACCACGTGTTATCAATGTTAGAAAAAATTTTGCTTGTTGAAAAGTTATTGGTGTATGTCTCGCTGGATAAGGTTTAGTGGTTGTTTCCACAACATTAACAAAGCTGTTCATTTGTTGCAAATTTCTAAGAGTATAATCGACAACACCAACAAATTAATCGATTTGTTATAAATTTCAAACTGTTGTTAGTTTTTAAGATGCTGCCACAAATCTCCAATTGGCTACTAAGGGGTGTTTATTGCCATAAATGGGTGGAAAAGAAACCAAGGCAAACCTACCTCTCACACAGTAAACTCAATACTCTTATTTTAATGTTCAAGTGTATCTTAGTTTCAAACCTTTTAATTTAGTTTTAGTTTTACACTTCAACCTAAATTAGTCTTCAACTTTAATTTAATGTTTTTTCCTTTAGAAATCCCAAAAATTAGTTGTAGTTTTTTGAAAAAACAATTCAGTTTCCCTTTTGTTGGTTTTGTAATGGCAATATTTGCTATCTTTAGTTTTTTTTTTTTGTAATCGAATTGCTTCTTTTTCTTTTTTGTTTTCCTAGTTTTTTATTTTTAATTTAATCAAATGATGTTGATATTTAATGTCATATTCTATTCTATTTTTATTAATTTATATTTCATGCTATGAGTAGATTTTCCATATTTATAGTTTCATTTACTTTAACTTAATTTATTTTTCTACAGTTATATTTCCTTTTTAGAACTCTATTTCAACTCAACTTGCATATTTAAATTTATTTAGATTTTTAATAGTTTAGCGATCATTTACTTTTTTTATAGTTTTAGCTTTTCTCAATTACATTAGTTTGGACAAGTTCTTGAGTCATATTCAAGGCATTTTGTCTTATAACCTATTTAATACAGGAAGTTCATCCCTCATTTCTACCAATCATTTGATCATTAAAGCATAATTTACAACATTTTTTCAACAACTTACAATTGAGTTCTACACTTAGAAAAAGGCGAGGGTCATCAAAGAAACATTTTTTGTTTTGAGCAAACACGTGGCACGTCGTTTTATTTACTACGTGTCAAAAGGATTTTTTTACGATAACCCCTACTTTTTCAAAATATGAATAATAGAAGTTTTTTATTTATTCAAAATTTTCCTAAAAAATAGTATGAGACAAATAG